GACAGAGCACAGGTCCGTGTATGTACGTTTTAAGCTTACGCGCCTGGACGTAGGTGCAGAGACCAGGTCCCTCCTTTGGTTGGTGATACGATCGCTGGGCATCGGACTCAACAATTGGGAGCTGTCAGAGGGATGTGAGCCCAATAGGGTGGAATCCTGGGCTCCGTCTCGGGTGCTGACCGGAGAGGAACTACCATCTGAGAAGGCCTTCTCAAAGATATTGTCGCGATTGATCTCTGCGGGTCCTGTGATGGGTCCACGACCATGGATTTGGTTTTCCTGGGTCTCGAGCATATTTGCTCGGGCCAAAAGCTCCATCATACCTTGCATCTCTGTGTCCCCGCTGGCGTTTGCTTGTGCGTTGGCGATCCCGGCATTGCTTGCGGCCCATCCCATCCGGTCGCGCATGAAATCAATAGACCTCTTGAGGATGTTTTGACGGGTGTGGAGGAATTCCTCGGACTGTTGAGCAAAGGAAAAGGAATGTAGCGACTCCAGTGGAAACCGGTGTAGGTCTTCTAGATCCGTGAAACTTCGGCTCGCCAAATTACCGGTGTGAGCTCGAGATGAGGATCGAGATCGGGGAGAAGGGGCGGGGCGCTGGCCAGCCATGGGAGCTAGCGATAGCGATGAGGAAGACATATTTGGAAGGGTCAATACTCGCGAGGGCTGGTTTTGGCGTATACGATCCAGCCCAGTTGGACCAAGTCCATGGTCGTTCTCGAATAACGGAGATCTGTTGAAACACAGCTGTTAGTGCTCCGTTGAAAAGTAGAAAGAATGTTGTCACTGACCTGGAGAGAGGGTCATATCCCGAAGAAACACTGTCCGCCGAGCTTCTGAGGTGATCTGTCTGTAAAGAAAGTGTGTCCAGTCCGGACTCAGATTCGGGCGACTCAGAGAGGGGTCCTAACGGCGACGAAAGAGGACTCGGCTCGCCTACGTTTGGTCAGCGCGATTCACCTAGCTGATAATCGACTCAATCGGCGCGTCTCTCGAAGTTTCCATTCCACGGGCCTTTCAAGAAAAATGTGATGTTATCGAATGATCAGACGGTTCGTCTCCGCGTGTCAGATGCATCTCCGAGCATGTGCTAGCGCGTGACCGTAATTTCTGGGAAGAAACTCGAGTCGCGCCCTGTTTGCTCCAACCCGTTTCTTTTCCGGTGCTCGATGAGTCGTAAGCTCAATGTGAGTATATTGTACGTAGCAAGGTAACCTGTTTCCCCTCACCTCCACTAGTTCTTCAAGGCCCATGGAATGTGAAACAAGGACTGAACGATCAACATAAAAAAGCATGTGCGCCCAACTGACCATCATTGTTGTATGCCGACCCCATCCCCGAGGTCTCTCTTCTCTCTTTTTGGTTTTTGTTATCTTTTTTTTAAAAAAATTTAGATGATCAGATGGGAGACAAGAAAAAAAAACGAGGCTCAATCGAGGCGAGCACTCGTGAATGTATCCGGGGTATGCGACATGTATGGGCGGAACGGTCATTCGCAACTGTGACGGGGGTAGGGCGGGCAGCTGCCTCGTAGGGTCTCAGGCGGCATATGTGGCGTCGCAGCTGAGCACACAAAGAGTGAAGAGACAAGCAGATGTCTTCGTAAAAGATTCAAGGGGGAAAAAGAAAAGGACAGCGGGGGAGAGAGAGAGAGAGAGTGGGGAGAGGAAAATGCAGAGGAAAAAGGGAAATGGGTCCCCCCTTCGTGATGTAATAGCCCAATTACTCTTTATATTATATGGGCTTTTATATGTCTTTTTGATCCATTTTCCTATCAAAACAAAAACATAACACTTTCATTTGGAACAGCTGATTTGTCTTTAGATCGGCTGATCGACATTGTTTCTATCCCATGTGGCGGCGAAGTTTACCGCTGTGTTGAACTACGGAGATCTATATATAAGATAGATTATATCTTAAAACAGAGTCAACTCTCTCTTGATACTTGAAAAACACACGTTTCTCGGCGATTTCTTACCCCGCTTCAAATGGATGTCATGGCCAGGTTATTTCCCGAAGCCTTGAAATGATGCAAAGTGGCTTTCTCAATAGATCCGAGCGCCTGGGGCCTTAACCCCTTTTGGTTACTTACATGCACTTTCTATGAAAGTTGACAAAAAGGTAGTTGAGGAAAATGGGACTAGCTGCCAAATGCCTGTGGATGCAAGTGATGCAAGTCAAGTGAAAATGATAATGCCTGGGAGATAATAAGTGGGACTAGCTTTGACCCGTTATGTATCTCCAATGCATACGCAAGCAGTGACATGGGCGGGAAATATCATGGGTCGGTCCCTGACAGGTCCCGAGAGCCCCGAAGGCTGTGTAGCGCCAATTCACTGTGCCCAGAATCCGTCCCTGGATTGTCATCTCCGCTCGACCTGAAGGCATTGGGCTTCCCTCGTTGATCTAGTTGTCGAGTCTGCTCCGGCGGCGGCGAAGTCGAGCTGACAAAGCCCGACAGGTTCCGCCCACCGCCAAGCATCCATGAGAATCCCGAATCCGTCATAGAAGGTCGCACAGTTGATCGTGAGGGTATTGCCCGCGAACCTTGGGTTTTTCTGTCACTGTTCGTCCGCCTTGCCGTCGATAGCACATCGGCTCCACTCTCGGCTTTCGGCCCGGTATCCGCGTTGGGACTTATTGTTCGTGATTGACCTTGGTTTGCCACCATGTTGCCTTCTGCTTTGCTCATTGATGTCTCTGTCTCTTGGGGTTCGTCCAGTTGGTTCAATTCACCGTCTACACGGGGGTCAAGAGGGGGATCTACTGGGATGGAAGAATCTCCGAGGCAGACCTGGACACTCTCAGCTTTGACCAGGGCCTGCTTCACTGCGCTGTTCGTATCAGAATCGAGGTCCTTGATATTTGCCAGCTGCGAGCCAAGATCGTTCAGTGCCTCGCGTAACATCGTCGCCAAAGCTTGGTTCCTTTCCTCAAGTAGATTGATCTTCGTTTCCAGTCTAGCTGAGGCCGCCGTTCCCATGGGCTGGATGTCCGATGCTGATGCAGCGGAAACAGGCCTCGAAAATCCAGGACGCATATTTGCTTCATAATGCATTGTCTGCATATTTTTCCGAGCTTCTGTCACGGCACCTCGAACAGCTTTGGCTACGCCCCAGGCCTCTGTCCGGCGTTGGATTCCCTGGGAGACGTCTTGGAAAAGAGACTCGAGGCTGTTGGGGCTATTTCGGGCTGGTGATCCTGGAGATTGGTTTCTTTCACTGCGTTTCTTAAAGTCTTCCCAAAGAAAAGCCTTCCTCGTGGGCCATGTGCCAGGGTGGTTGCGAATTTTGGAGTCCGGCGGTCTGCCTGAATATTTGGATATGATGAAACTGCCTCGATCGGCGGTAGGATTCTGTTCCAAATAGAGGGCATCATGTACAAAGGTTTGAGGTGTGTGTGGTTTGGGCGAAGGGTAACGAAGTAATAATGTTAAGGCGGTTGTATAGTCGGCCGTGAGCACTAGATGATGTATGTCAGCAAAAATGAGATATGGGAGATTGAGCAGGTCAACCAACATTGCCAACGGATTCTAAGCAGCATTGCAATGCACGTGAAATCAACAAGATCAGACCGTAGCCCATGCGCAAACAGTAGATCCCACATCATTAGGACATCGTCAAATGGAAATTCTCGCCCAAACAGAAGGCGCATCCAGCGGCTTTTGAGTGAGTTAGCAAATAATGAAATGCATGGGTATCCATCTGGAAGCGGCTTACGTTAGGAAAATTTGCGGTAATACGTCCACAGCTTCCAGGTGCTCAGCGAGCTCATGATCGATAATCGCCAAAGCTTCCTTATGGAGATAGTGACACCGATCAACTATCGGAATGACATCCATCTGGCCATTTGCCGACCGTGTCTCGCCGTGTTCATAGTATATGCGGGCCGTCTGCATGACAGAGAGAAACAGCGTAAATGAATCATGTTCCACGAATTGTGCATCAAGAAGCTTTAGCATCAAGCCCTCACTTTTGTCCTTGTTCGCATCCGGTCCTCCGGAGTGTGGCTTCACCGAGTCTCGATCTACTGCCCAGAGAATAGGCGCGAGTAATTCGTGCATTCCTTGTCTATACCCGACGTCTGGATTGAGCTTCGAGTAGACAAACAGGATGTCAGTCAATTTGGATTTCGTGTCGGGCTCTTGGAAAAAGAAGTTTTCCTGCAAGCATCGATCGACATCTTGCAGAATCTCGGTACGCAGCGTCTCATCGTGTCGGAGTGTTTGCCAAGGGGACTGGTTGTTCCAGCAAGATTTAGTTAGATAAGGGGATTCTTTCAAGTTGGGCGAAGCACAGCGAGAGGGTCACATACCTGCTCATCGTCCGCCAGCGGATCAACAGTCGACTCTAAATCGTCCGGGTGTTCGATGTATTTCAAGAAATGATCTCGTAGCGCACGGTAGGCATCCCGGGATTCGTCGAGCTTAGACGCCCATTCAGTTTTATCCAACCCGTCGAAGAGTAAAAATGCCTGTATGAAGCATAAGCATATATCTCCATTTCACGTTTTCCAAGGCTACAGAACCTTCCAGCAAACCGACCTCAGTCCGTCATTGCACAAGTTTCCTCCTTGCTCGGATTGTAACGCTGCTCGGAGGTCGGAAGGTGTGTCGTTGTCGGAGAACAGGACGTCCCATCTCTTCCTGTGAGGGTTAGTATAATTGAAAGTATACGGACAATTAATAAAGGGGGAAATACTTGGTCTCCTCAATGGTTCTCATTGTTGATGACGGGGAGAAGCTAGGAAGATGAGGGGGAATGCGGGCGATAGTAGACCGCCCGTGCCTTATCTCGCGCTGTGACTTGGCCATTGCGACATTCCATTATACTCTTGATTTCGGATTGGGAACTCTGCATATCAAAAGCGAGATAGATTACGCTTGACCTCGGGACAGTTTATTCGATCTTTCTGCCCTTGCAGAATCCCGCTGTATCCCTGCACCGCTGCACTTTATGTCACCTCTCACAGCTTCATGACACCCGTGGACATTCAAAATGTCCGCAGATCTGCTAGCAGAGTTTGGTCAGGCGCCTGCTCCAGACAATAGGTCCAGACAGCAGCAATCGCAACACCAGAAAGACCCATTCTTTGATGCCGACGATAGCATCGATTTCTTCGGGTCATCGGGAAGTGTGCAGCACAACAAACGTCCCAATCCGACCCAGGGAACACCCAGTCAATTTGCAATTCCGGCAGCTTCATGGCAGGGCTCTGGTCATCGGGGATTTGACCTTCCCTTGAATCCACATAGCGACGTATTATTTGATGCAGAATTTGACACACCAGCAAGTGATGCAGACGACTGGGGTGAATTTGAGGGGCCTGATTCAAACACTCTACATGCGCAACCAACAGCTCTTCAGCAACCAGCAACAGTTACGTTGCCCAAAACAGAGCCTCGGCGAGATGATCCACAGGTTTCTAGGACAATTGACTTGCTAGATTCACTCTCAATGCAAGACTCCGCACCAGTTGTGGAACATCCGAAAATTGCCAAGAACCAACACAAACCTAATAATCAAGACCAGCCGACATGGGAGGATGATTCGTTTGGTGACTGGGGCGATTTTGCCGATGTGTCTGCTAGCCAACCTCCCCCCAAGGTCTCTAAGAAAAAAGCGAACCCACCTACAAGACCGCCTGTCAAACCCAATAAGCCGGCTGTGTCAACCTGGGATGACGAAGCCTTTGACGACTGGGGTGATTTTTCAGATGGGCCTAGTGTGAAACCTGTGCTCAAATCCAAACCCTCACCACCGACGGCTCCTAGCCCAGCTCCTCGTAGCTCTGTTTCCGGGACCACAACCCCCGCAGCCACCGTCCGTCCAACAAATATCCCACCGCCATCGGTCCTTCTCGAGTTATTCTTGGATGTGTTTGAGAATCTTCAGAAAGAGGCTGCACTCGCAAAATCCCAACTGCGATCCTCAACTCCGTCATCCTCAAACACCATTTCAACAACAGCTTTAAATATTCACAATATACTTCAATCGGCCGCTCGCGTAATTGCAGGGCGAAGTCTCCGGTGGAAACGTGATACAATCCTTAGTCAAAGCATGCGAATCGGCCCTGCCCGTTCCGGCAAAGCCGGTGGTATGAAACTTAACAGCGTGAACAAGCAAGAAAGCATCAAAGAAGAACAAGACGCTGTTGACGTGCTTACTACTTGGCGAGAACGGGCGGCTATGTTCAATGTTGTTCTACAAGCCGCAGGTCAGCGGCCAATCCCTACAGTTCCAGACCCTAATGCGCTCAAAGTTATTACGGCGCGGGCGGACCAGGGCGCATTGAAGGCTTCTCACCCATGTGCACTCTGTTCACTTAAGAGAGATGAGCGGGTTTTACGGGTGGATGAGCAAAGTGTTCAAGATAGCTTCGGAGAGTGGTGGACTGAGCATTGGGGTCACACAGCATGCAGGCGATTTTGGGAGACGAATCGAAATCTGCTTGGGCAGCGTTAAGCATAGTAGAGAAAAAAAACATAAACGTGACCTTATTATCGGGAAGGAACCCGAAATCTCTTCGACTCTCTACAAAGATACAAGATACAAGATACAAGATAAGATTCTGTATCCACCCGTGGACATCTCTACAAATCTCTTTGATTCGTCTTTCTGATAACACGAGCTCGGGAGTTTCCCCCTCACGGGGAACTTTTGCCCCCCCGCATTTTAGATCTTCAACATATCTCAACATGGGTGATGGAAGAGTCACAAAACGATCGTCAAATGCGTGTGTACGATGCCGGAGACAAAAAATCAAATGTTCCGGTTCACAGCCATGCGATGGTTGTAGCAAGCGGTGCGTTAAACTCTTATCGATGTGCGCTCGATTGCAATGCCGCTCTCGGGCCATTGACCCAGTTTATATATACTAACCTCGATAGAAAGCTTTCTTGTATTTTTAATGACCGTGATCAGAAGATCCTGGTGACAAGAGGGCAAGTCAAATGGAGTCTTGAAAAGAACCAATGGCTTACATTTATTGTAGCTACATCCTGGAGCTACAGCAGAAAATTGCGCGTATAGAGCAGAACGAGAAGGGCCAAGCAAGCCCTTACAGCTCGAATTTTGAAGCTCAGCCCATTGGTACGTCTTGCTTTCTACTTAGATTGTTACCTACTGACCTATTGTAGATCCCAGAGATCGCGAACATGTACCTACTTTGGAGAAGACCAGAACTCCAGAGGATCATGAGGAACCTCAGGACCTGGAGGATCTAGACTCTGAGCTAGCCAATCCATTATCGTCTGGTCCTCCTGCTTTTATGTCTGCAGCAAATGGGCGCACATGTAGGTCACGCTGGTTTCCTGGTTCCTTAGAATGCGCAACTCTAATATGTATAGTCTACCTTGGAACATCATCCAACTGGTCGTTCACTCGACGAGTTCTCAGCTTGGCACATCAGCACCTCTATCAGAATGCACTGCCCACAGAAACTTTGCTATTCGATGAAACGACCTATGAACTGGGATGGGATGGGCTACGAACAACCCCGGGCCTAGATGTCCCAGTTGTACCGACTCGCGACCATACCATGTATCTGATCAACGCCGTGCAATTCCGGTGCGGGCAATTGTATCACCTTTTCGAAGAAGAGGAGTTTATGAGCTCCTTGCAACGGTTTTACTCGGGAGATGGCCAATCCATGACAAATAGCTTGTGGTACATCCATTTCCTCCTCATCCTGGCTTTTGGCAAGGGATTCGTTCAGCCCAAGGCTCAAGGTAGAAAGCCACCAGGGGTGCACTATTTTGTCAAAGCTTTGCAGCTTCTGCCCGACCCGACTGCTCTGTACCGGGATCCTATGCTCGGAACGGAAATTCTATGTTGCATCGCTTTATACTACCAGTGTGTTGACTTTCGAACATCGGCACATAACTACGTAAGGTTTTCAAAGAAACGTTTCATGTGAAATACTTGGCTGACCAATATTCTAGATTGGCCAAGCCATGCGGATAGCCATGGCACAAGGAATGCATACTAATATGCCAGTCGAAGATTTAGGAGATAAAATGGTCCAAAGATCCGGCAAAATCTGGTGGACCATTTACATTCTAGACCGAGAAATGACATCGTTAATGGGTCTACCTCAGTCGATCAATGATCGATATGTGCAAACCCAGCTCCCCACCTTTGCAGACCCATCCGAAACAATGTCATTAGGCATGCACATCAAGTTGTCCCAGATCATCGCCGAGGTGAACAGCAGTAAGATTCCCTTAGCCTCTAGTGTTGATGATCGCCCCTAACAATATGAACAGCAATATATGTTGCCAATGGGCGTATCAACCGGACCTTTTTGCTTAGCACTAAAGCAGCATTGGCGAATATTGCAGGGCTTGCCGATGAGCTTCGCGAGTCATTTCCGCTACACTTAGATCCAGTCAAGGGCGTTTCTCGAACATCAGCGTACCTACATCTTCAATATCACCAGGTGCGTGTCTTATCCTTTGTGAGAAGAGAGGCATTCACTGACTACTCACACGATATTCAGTGTATCATCCTCGCCACCAGACCTCTCCTATTCTGCTTTCTTAAAATCCGCTTCGAGTCCCCAGAAAGCTGTTTAGAATCCCTCAAAGCATCTCAAAATGTCCGAAACCTGATGCAAATGTGTCTTGAATCCGCCCAGCACATCATCAGCATTCTCTCCAATTTACAGAGCCAAGGCCTTTTAGGTAAAGCAACATTTGCTACAGATAGGCCCTCTTGACTAATATCCGACTTCTAGAAACCTTCCTCCCCTTTGATCTAGAATCAGTTTTTGTATCCACAATCATCCTCCTGATGGGCCCATCAATCGACCCGCGCTTGTTAGAAAGCCACCCTAACTGGCTGGAGAAAGCGTACGCCATCTTCGACGAAATGATCAGAGACGGAAACCAAGTTGCTAGCTTCCGGCGATCCGAGCTCCAGCAGCTACACGAGACATTATTAGGATGTATATCTGGTGATCAGCCTCGACACTTGGCGGTCCCTGAATTCTTTCAGCAGGCTGATATTGTTCCTGACCCAGCTTCCCCATCTGCGACACCGATTCCTGGAACTATACCTCAGTCTGTTCGATATGATGATGCTCTTTTCAGGCCGGATCCCGATTTTGATGTGGAGTGTGATTTTAGTACGATGCTGACTTCGGCTGAGATTATGGCTGTTGCAGACTCGATTGAGAGCTATGATACTGAGTGGGTATCGAATGCGATGATAGAACATAGTATATGGTAAATTGAATGTCTAATGAATTGATGAGTTCCTAATTGGTATCTACTGATATTTTCAATGAACAGTATCGTGTGCTAAAATAATTATAAGCTAGTCTATCAGTTGAATGGTTAATAATACGTTTGCCTTGAATCTGAAAATGCCGTAAAAATCAATATACTCTTCTAATATCCAAAGAATCTAAAGCTTAGACAAAACCGCCGGCCGAATCTCAGAAAGCTCCTTCGACTCTCCAAGACGCCAGCTCACATCACCACCCCAATTCCCCTTCCCCTCATTGGGATCGGTATGCTTCCATTGCCACCGTGCTTCACGCTGTCGGCCAGCCTGCAGGAAATCCGAAACCCAAGACCCAAAGATAGGGAACATCTTAAACCCATGTCCAGAATCACCAGACAACAAAACAACGGATGACGACGTCTCCGGAACAAAATCAATAATAAAGTCCGAATCATCAGTATCAGCAAACCAGCAAAGCGACTTCTTAACCAGCGGGCGATTCGCAAGTGCCGGAAGAGTCTGCGCCAGCAATTTCCTCATTTGTCTCTCGTCATGCTCCGGCACGAACGCACTTTCCTCCAAAGTCCCAGGCGCATGAGAAACCCCAGTCTCAGGATCCGTATTGATATATCCTCCGCCCATAGGACAAATTTTCAACAGGTTAGTCTGCGGATCCGGCTCAAAGAGAAACCCCAGATCGCGAGCATATGTGACAGGAATACCACGCAGCGCAGAAGTCTCTTCATTCGTAAGATGAACATGCGCAACAGACCAAGACTTAGCCACGACCTTCTTCCCTATCTCCGAAACCAGACGGCCAACTGCACCGCCCGCTGCGACAATCACTAATGAAGATGGATGGAACTTCCCATCCTTCGTTCGGATTCCGGAGCTCTTCCTGCCTTGCGGTGTGCTGACATAGGCAATTTCGTCGACTGCGCCGCATTCTCCGAGGTAGAAGCGCACACCGGCTGCCTGTGCGGCGCGGTATACTCCTGCCAGGGCATTTCCAGAGTGTGCATACCCGTCGAATCGGTTCAGGTATCCATTCCATCCGGTCAATGGGCCGTCGAGCTGCCAGCAGGCTTGACGAATATCGTCTTCGCCCTTGAGAGGTATGACATGTGGTTTGATTTGATTGTTCCCTTCTGCCGAAGCTCGGAATCTATTGAGGGTGTTGATGGCTTTCTGGGGTGCTTCGCCAGACACGCAGTGGAGAAATCCGGTCTGGTGGAAATGAGGTGCGAAGAGAGGGGTTTTCCATGCGGCGATGGCTTTCTAATTAATAGATAAAACAAGATATTGGTCAGAACTAACTCGATTACTATACAGGCATCGAAGACCGTGACTTACAATTGTCAAATCGGTATAGAAGGAATCCTCGTATTCCGCGCGCACAATCTTGTTCAGGTCATTGGCAGCCGAATAGCGTGGAGGAATATGCTCGTCTCTTTCGAAGACAGAGATATTCGTGAAGCCTGAGCGAGTCAAATGAAGGGCGCTGGAGAGCCCGAAGGCTCCGCCGCCAACAATGATAATCGGGTCGGACTTGGAGATACCCATGGTGAGATATGGGAAACTTCTACCAGATGGTGTAATAGTTCGATATCTATAGTCGACTTACAGCTCAACACATCCGAGTTAACGGCGTCAATGCCGATTCCCTAGTGGGGGGTGCGGAGAAGTGGGCCATCGGGAGGCCTCCCGATGTGAGGGCTGGATATTTTTGATGGACAATGGACTTGGACACGATAACTGCAATAAGATATGATATGATATGGTGGGGGGAAGTCGAAGATTTGAGTCATTTGTAAAATAGTTACATTTAGGTGTCATGTCGGAGAAGTAGATACCCATATATTTATGCTATAGTCTACCAGTAGAGTTATATACTTCCATCAAGTCACTTTATTGGTGCAAGCAAAAGACATATAGCTCTATTTGCAGCAATCTAATCAAGGTAAACCATGTTGGCGATATTGAGGAATTCTGAGATACATGGAATTACCTTGGAATCCTATAGATAATTAGGTAAAGACTGAAAATGGACATGTATCATAATCTTAAGAGTAGAATTAATAGAAACTGACGAATACAGTGTGAGGAAGTATATTAGAAGGATGATAAAGTGCAAGATCTGTGAATTCAGAACTATAGAATATGTTGTACAGTGGCTTGAATCTCGGCGCAAAACGCACGCAAATTCAGAGGACGATAGGATCATGGCGGCTAGCAGTGATTCGAGTATAAACCGCATTACCAGGCCAGTTGACAATGTCATATTGGAAGTATAGGCGCTATAATGTATCGTGCATAATAACGGGATCCTGCATCTAAACAGAAACAAATAACAGTATGTATGCTTGGATTGTGAAAGTCCATATTATGCTAAAAATTCTATAAACTATTCATTTTATATCCTGGAATTAGTGGTTGCTGGGGTAAGTGAAACCCTCCTCCTGACCAAAGAATTCCTCCTTAATCAACCGCGGGCTAACGAAACGACGGAGAGGGTCAGAGCTACCAGCCTTATCGTTAGTTCCACTAGCACGGGCACCACCGAAAGACTGCTGGCCGATAAGGGCAGCAGTTGTCTTGCAATCTGTGAAAAGTAAATGGTCAGACATGGCAACGATTCACTTGGGTACTGTGAGACTTACTGATATAGAAGTTTCCGGCAGAGTATCGGAGCGCATCTTCAGCCTGGCGGATAGCAACGCGATCCTTGGCAAAGACAGCACCAGTCAAGGCAAATCCGCCTCCATTCTGATCAACAGACTTCAAAGTAGAAGCCCATTCGGCATCCTTGTAGATGTGCACAGCAAGCACCGGGCCGAAGATCTCCTCGTTGAAGAGACGGTGGTCTGGTGAATCGGCTTGGTACACAGTAGGGTGCACATAGTATCCAACTGATTCATCATAAGTACCACCCGCAATCAGCTTCAGCGAGGGGTCCTTGTTGCTAGCATCAATGATAGACTTGATCTTCTCGAATGATCCACGGTGGATGACAGGGCCCATGAAAGCTTCCAAATCCTTGTCCGGGTTTCCAATGGTGATCTCCTTGATGCCAGCCTTCAACTGAGCAAGGAACTCCTCTGCGCGGGACTCCGGCAAGTAGAGACGGGATGTGGCAGAGCATTTCTGACCCTGGTACTCGAATGAGCCGCGAATGGTGTGGTTGACTGCACTAGTGATATCGGCCGAGGGGTGAACAAGATGGAAATTCTTTCCGCTGGTCTCGGCAACGAAGCGAGGGAACTCGCGGTATTTCTTTTCGGCAACACCCTGGCCAATCTTACCATACAGAGAACGGAAGACATCGGAAGACCCGATAAAGTTCAAGCCGGCAAAGTCACGGTGTGAGAGAACAGTCTCAGTAATGGCTTCAGGGTCACCGGTCACAAATTGGATCACGTTGGGAGGGAGACCGGCCTCCAAAAGGATCTTGTAGAGCAAAGAGCTCGCGTAGACGTTAGACGCCGAAGGCTTCCACAGTACTACGTTACCCATTAGCGCAGGTCCGCAGATCAGGTTGCCACCAATGGCTGTGAAGTTGAATGGGGAGACGGCGTAAACGAAGCCTTCCAGGGGACGGTAGTCGATACGACTGCGATTAATTAGCAAAGAGTTCCTTAACAGTTCAAGACTTCGATATAGACTTACCTCCACATGCCATCACTGCCACGAGTTGGCTGCTTCTCCAGGATTTCAGCTGCCCAGTTGCAGTTCAGACGGAAGAAATCCGCCAATTCAGCCGCAGCATCAATCTCTCCCTGCCAGATGTTCTTTCCTTGTCCAAGCATCGTAGCTGCAATAATCTCGTATCGATACTTGGTGCAAAGCAGCTCGGCAGCCTTGAGAAAGATCGAAGCTCGATCAACAAATGGGGTATCTTGCCAACTTTGCTTTGCCTCCAGAGCTAGTTCAATAGCTGATCGGGTCTGTTCATCGGTGGCGAGTGGGTAGTTTGTGAAGGTAGTGGCATGTTCGGCAGGCAATGGTTGATCCCAAGACTTGGAGCTCGCTTGGAATTTTCCATCATAGAAGAGCTCACTCCGCACGGGTAGCTGGGAGCGGAGCTTGGTCAATGCTTCTTCAAGCTTAGCGCGCTCCGGTGAGCCTTTCTTGTATAGAAGCTATATTATAATCAGCATTGAGGTGGCATAAGCCTATATAGCTGTATCACACTCACGTTTGGTTCGTTTCGAGCATCGGGGAGGCGGAATGGCATGGTAGTCTTAGCACGAGTTTGAATAGAAAGTCCTGCAGGAACGGAGCGCAGGCAAGAGCCAGTAGGCCGTGCCGAGCGAAGTCTCATGAGTGTAGTAGACATGATGGATAGCAGTTTCGAGTCGAGTGAATTGCAATGTAAACTTGAGAAATCGGTTTGAGACGACAAACATATCTGTTTTAAGTCAACGAATGTCAACGACCCCTCCTAGAGATATCGGAGGCTTCTCCGTTTACCCCACATGATACTTGAAGTGAGCTTGAGCTATGACGGACAAGATAAAGCTAAATGCATAGCTACTGTTCGAGATCTGCAGCATCGGGAGGCCATCCGGTGTTCCTATCAGGCTGGATTGAGTAGTGTAATCTTATATTTCAAAGTAGATAAGCATGAGACTCGGAACTATGTACTTCAGATTATCATTATGCAACAAGAAGCTCAATCAACTAGAGCTCGCTGGGGCAATCCTCAGCTAGAACAGCTGGCAGGCGATCTCGCCGCAGCAGCAGCCTCGGCATCCCTAGTGACACCCGCGGTGGCAATTATTGATAGGTTCGTCTCGATTGCAAGCGCGCCGATTCCGCGCTAACAAGCTCCCAGAGCGCTCGTCGAGCAAGCTGCCTTCAAGCAACCCATTCTCCGCGGGCTTCGTCGGCATGCGCTCGGGGCTCTCCGACAGCCGGGTCTGTTTGTCTTCCAACGACCCTTCGGTATCGTCTGGGCCCTCTACGCGGCAACTTATTCCGTGGCAAATGTAACCGACACAATCAGTCGCAAGTTTGAGATAGCCGCCGCGGGGACGATCATATTTGCCACTACGATGATGGCCAACGTGCCGCTAGCGCTGTGGAAGGACATCCGATTTGCACAGGAATACGGCACCGGCAACGGTCCCGATGCCAAGACATCGAAAGCACACATTATCTCTGTACCCCTCCAGAACAAGTCATTGGCACGAACTGCAGCTGCTATCTTCCTTGTACGAGACGGTGTGACTATCTTTGGATCATTTACGTTGGCCCCGTGGTTGTCGGATGCCATCCCCGACGGCTTGGCGGCTCATCCCCACGCAAAGCCCATCATCACCCAGTTGACCGTGCCCGTCCTCACACAGCTGGTTGCAACTCCCCTACATTTGTTGGCATTGGATATGTATACACGGCAATATACTATGCCCTTCATGGAAAGGGTGAAGCATTCGCAGCAATATCTTCCCTCGTCTACTTTGTTACGTTGTGCCCGTATCATTCCTGCGTTTGGGATTGGGTGCTTGACGAATATGGAGTTGCGATCTGCTTTTCATGCCAAATTATCTGGTTAAATAAATCAATTTCATGCCTAACTATCTACCCATATCCTGTACAAATGGCTGTGATCAATAGACTCAACAAAACTATCTAGAAACGTTAATCTATACTCTATCATAAGCTTCTATCTAAACAAAGCTGATAAGCATCGCCTCATCACAAGCTTCTCCGTTTCCCTTTCAAGCATTCTCCACTTGCGTGGACTCCAGCCCACCCTTCTCGGTATCATTGACGTGCGCCAGAATCTCTGTCTGGTAAGGCATCTCCCGTGCAATTCGAACAGTATCAAAGACAGACTTCGACTGAACAAAAATATCATCAATCTCCTCCAGTGTACGGCCCTTAGTCTCCGGGCAGAAGAAACAGAAACACACACAAGCAAAGGCACTAATGCAGGCATAGACAATGTAATACCGCCAGTGGATAGTAGCGAACCCCACAGGGCTCACCTCTGCCAACACGAAGTTGAAGAGCCAGTTTGCTGCAGCTGACATAGCAGTAACCTTAGCACGCGTGCGTAGCGGTGCGATCTCCGCGGCATACATGAATGGGACAAGGAAAAGTCCAATGGGGAAGCAGAAAAGCGCTACGAAGTAGAACAAGAGTGATGCGCCAGCTGCAGACTGATTTCCAAGGTCGCTTGACAGCCCGGCCAGACAGGCCTGTGCAATGGCCATACCAGCAGTGGCAGTAATAAGCAGTGGACGACGTCCGAGACGATCAATGAGTAGAACGGCCAGGCCGGCGGCCAAAAATTGCCAGATTTGCAGACATCCGGTGATGATTCGTGAGAGTGTACCTGAGTAACCCAGGTCGGACTCGAAAATAGTATCAGAATAGAAAGTGATGATGTTGACACCGGTCATCTGTGCCAGAATGTTCACACCAACAGCAATAACTGTACGATGCAGGTGGCGATTCTTCGTGAGCGCAAATGGTGAAGACGAACCTGGCGATTCGGTGTTCTCATCACTTGCAAGTGATTGTCGGATAATGTCCAGTTCCTGTAGGACGTGCTCAGAGTCGACTGGCACATCTTCCATGCGGGCCAGCACTTCAGCTGCTTCCTCGAAGCGTCCGACACGTGCGAGCCAGCGGGGAGACTCGGGTAGTAGCATGATACACACCACAACAACGAGACCAAAGAGGCCTTGAAATGCAATTGGAAAACGCCAGCTGACAGAGTTGTCGCTGACATAGTAGAGTCCGAATTCCAACCATGTTGCAAGAGCAACGCCGCCAATTGCAAACCACCCCTCCAGCAGCACCATTCGTCCACGGGCCTCTGCTCCAGATGACTCGGAGACATACATTGGGATTGTAGCGGTGAAGCCACCAACACCCAGACCTATTCAGTTACTAGTTAGCTTATTGCAGCTTGTTCAATAATATGTTGGGGCTTTACCAGTAATGACTCTGCCAGCAATAAGCTGACCGAGCGAGAAGGGACTTGCTTGAATGGCTATGCCAACTAAGGCTATGCAACCAGCAAGAAAAATGGTCTTACGACGACCAAGTCTGTCACCTAGAAAGGCGCAGGAACCAGCACCTAGTGCACACCCAACTTCATAGATTGCGACCGTTGTGCCTTGAAATGGTCAGCATTGCTCTCATCAACCTGTAATGACTAATTCATTGATTAAATACCTTGAATTTTAGAGTTGTGAGCTTTCTCACTGCCAGTGGTATGCACGGTATCGATTTGAGGGAAGACGGCGATGAAAGAGCCCAGTGTCAACAGTCCATTGGCAACTGCCTGGTCGTAACCTTGTAGTACGAATCCAACAGCGCCAACAAGACCTATGACGAGGCTCAATGACTTGCCTTTGAGGGGGGCCATGGCGTTGACTCTATAGGCTTCTAATATAGTTGTTGAAAGGGTTTCGGATCAGTTTTAAAAACTTCTCTCGCACGATTTCAGGGGAGAGAATATCGGAATTAAAGGCTTCGGGGTTACCCAATGTAAGACCCCCTCCCCCACTTACTAACTTCTCAAGCGAGGGGCCCCAGACTGGGGGAGAGTACTCCGTACTCCGTACTTTGCATGTACCTAGGGCTATGGCTACCCACCCAAGAACAAGCTTAGGTACCAAGCTTCGGAGGTTCACCGAACGGGCCAACCGGCTCCTCAGATTCGATGGCAAGTGGAGCTTAGACTTCCTCCAAGTTTGGTACACTACGGCGCTAGGTGTGGTAGCTTTGTCTAGCCCCGGGCTTGTTGATATCCGGCAAATAGGATATTCCGAAATCACTTCGGTGATTACCTTCCGATCCATTTATTGGTATATCTTGATTTGACTCTGACCTCTATTAATGCCGCAGATCCACTTCCCCTCTTAGTTCTTACGGTACGTTTGTATCGAGATGAGAAGGCTGTGAGCTGTGAACCTGGGGCGTCGAGGATAGCGGTGTAGGGTATAACCCCTTCCAACTTACAGAGTATCTCTTATCTATTACATCCCTTTTCCCACCTCTGGCTGTTGTTAATGGTCGATATGATGCAAGTTGCCTGCTTCAGTTCTCACTCTTGATAAGGGCGCTGTGGAACATACGGAACATTTCTGGCCTCCCTAGCATCATCACGTCATCTTTGCGGTCAGCTTCAAGGCAATATTTTATTTGCCTCAACAAGATCAATGATCACCAGGTCAAATCTCCGAGATTCTCACCGCGTCCTCTATTTCAAAAAGCCTCCGACTTTCCATGCTATGAGAATATGACTGTCCCCGAGATCACCGACCAGACGCAGATCGTCACCTAAACCGACATCAATGCTGTCATTACGCCGGAAGATATACTCCGTACACAACCACGTCATGCGATCATAAAGTCATATATCATTTGGTACGCTATGAAGATGGCGAAAGAGAAAACACCGACTTCACTCTGCGAAAGACCTCCGTCTTCAACGCCCGGTACTCATTATCTGTCCGCAAAACAGCATCACGATTCTCAATTGCCCGACGAAGAAGATAGGCCAGACATTCACCCATAGCTCCCCAAGTGGAGCATTTATAAACTTCTGGTGTTCCATCGCCATCATTCATTTGAAGCAGCGAAAAGCTAACCTCATCAGACATACCATGGAGTTGTGCGAAGCGCACAGGCACAGTGGGCAAGCCAGACATGACACGATGCTTATGGAGTTGGTGGGCAGCCACCACGCTCTCTTTGTTGTGACTGGCCAGGAAGAGATTCACCGAGGGAAAGTCGCGGCTACCCTTATCTCCAAATTCTCCAATGTTCTTTCTCAGCGCCCCTTGGGCAATCATATTATATGCGTTGTCGGTGTCTTCCTTCGTGTCATGGATCAGGGACCGTTCATCCGTGGCCATGTATGCGCCTCTCACGAGCTTAAGACCAAGAGTGAATCCATCTTCTTTTGCCGCAGCGAGATGATTGGCCAGTGTCACTGGTGTGCTTTTGAGGTAGGCCTGGTAGGTATTGTAGATGGTGGCATAACCGTCACGATTGTATTTGCGCATAAGTTCCACAGCAACCCGTGCAATGCCTTTTTGGAAATGCTGAGATTCGGCATCGACGAGGATGCGAACCTTTCGGTCCTTGGCCTTGGTGCAGACCTCATGCAATGCATCCATCATTTGCTGCGGAGGCAACTTTCCAGCGGCAAAAGCCTCGGTGACTTTGACACCAGCGCCTGTCAGCCTTGTAAATTGTCAGCTGTTACTCTATGAAATAGGGGGGTTCGGGGTTATTTACTTGACTGCGAGGTAATCTTCTGCCTCTGTCATGTAGATGGTCTCTACTGTCCCTTCCCGCCAAGCCTCGATGCTGGGACACTGGTGGACCGAAGCATTGGTGGACACATCCCCGTGCTCGCTTTCCAAAGCAGCAACTCCCTGTCCATGTTGAGCCTGGGTACTATGATCAAACACAGTTTCAGCAGCGTATGTCAAAATCATACCGCGGAACCCCATGTCTTTCATTTCCCGGATGGTGGATCTGCATTCGGCTCCATTCTCTCCAGCACAGAATTGATTGTAGAACGTTTTCTTCAATATCCCATGCAGGAGCGGATTTCGATCCACATCAAATAGCCAGATCCTGTTGGGCTTGGAGAGGAAAGACAACAGCGAAAGCGCGGGAATGAGGAGGAATCTCTTTGACGATATGGTAGATACCAGCAGAGACCTAAGCAAGACGCGCGCCGGTAAAACAGAGAGAGGCGGTAGTGAGGGGCTCGGAGCTGTCTTTAACTGTGTGTGTGCTTGCAGTGTTGAAGTAAAGCGCAGTGCCATTGAGGCATTCACATAGCTCGTTGGCCGAGTGCATCGCGCAAGAGCGGCTAAAGGCTTTCCAGGAAGTAAGGTACCCATTTCTTTAAACTGATATTATGACTTTGGACTTCTGCTCGTGTCAATTTAGGCGAAGGGACCAGCTTCTATATTCTTCAATGCTGTTCCCCTCGTACAAAGCCAGATAGCATCTCGGACAGGTGCCCGGTGCCTTTGATAACTGATGAAACCCACCATGTGGGGTGATTATCGCTGCTGTTCAATCTCTCCACAAAGAGTCATGGAACCCGAAGAGCCTATTTACAGGACTGGTCCTATTGGCAATCCAGATAATACGATCGTGGGATGTCTGTACGGGAGACTCGCCGGTGGCGGGGTTGCTTTCCCAGGTTATCAACGGTATGCCTACCGACAGCGCCTTCTTGGTTTTCACCAAGTGACACAAAGATAGACTGAATTATGTGCTGTCTGCAGATTATCTCATATTACTTTGTGGGTTGTCCATATCGTTCAGGCATGACAGAAAGGTTTATGTACAATCTGAGACCATATGCCATACCTCATGGAAGGATAGACTATCGCTACCACGCGAGATGTACAAGATAAAAACTGTAGAATAGGAAATAGAACATAGAGTATGGCTAAAGCACATATTTTCTCGATGGTAGCCTACGCATGGTAGACTGAACTTTAAGACCACTGGTCCGCAACTCCTTTTATGCATATTATTATCTCTTTGCTATAAAACGCTCTCTTCGTCAACATTTAATTCTCAATGAGTCACGAAAAGCCCATCTAGACCTTCTTCGCCCGAGGTCTTCTCGGTGTCGGATGAAATCGGGAGGATTAGGGTTCAATAAGATGTGATCTTCTCCTTGTAGTAGCCATCTTGAATATAACCTCGCGGGGTTGGTGAAGCTATTATCGAGCATACACTGTATATTGTAGAACACATGATCCTTCACAATAGTGGAGTCATAGTCTGCGTTCTGCATTGTAGGAAACAGAACATCCGTGGCATAAAAGACAGACATGTTGGACTTTGACTACTCAATTTCAGAATCTAGACATTCCAGCTTGCATAGATTTCTCATTCTTCTATCTTTTCGTTTGTTGGTCATGAAGCTCCAAACAAGTATAGCTTGTCTTTCCCCCATGCCCACGCGTCTTCAGCACAGCGCAATGTTCAGGGCAGGCACTATACTATATTCTCGGCCAAACAGATACAGCAGCCTGTCTACCGTGCTGCCAATCAAACGAAACCATACAATAAGCACAAAAATTGGTCAAAAGTCTTCCTGGACCCATCCCATGTATGTTCGATTGAGTTGCCCAGTAGAGGGCAAATTTCCTTCATTGTTCCTTCAACAGAATGGTTTGGATCTGACATACATAATCTTCCTACTAGATACACAAAAGAACAGATCCTCGCTGTCCAAATCGCCCACCGCAAAGCATACACCTGGCAAGATAGAGCAGCTCTCGGAACCGTGCGCCTATTGCGCTGGGGTATGGATTTTGTCTCCGGGTATCACACTGGATCAACAACAAACACAAACACACTCTCCAACCACCTCATGACCGAGGAGAAATGGATCGCGAGATTTGTCTTCCTAGAAAGTGTAGCCGGCGTCCCAGGGATGGTGGCAGGGATGCTTCGCCATCTCAAAAGCATTCGCCGAATGAGGAGAGACAACGGGTGGTGAGCTGATATCATCCAGCTTGTAGACAAAAGAGGATCACCATCTCACAAAATACAGGATAGAAACTCTTCTCGAAGAAGCCTACAACGAACGAATGCACCTCCTAACCTTCCTCAAGCTCGCCGAGCCAGGCCCAACAATGCGGTTGATGGTCCTGGGCGCACAGTGTGTATTCTTCAGCGGATTTTCCCTCGCATATCTCATCTCGCCTCAGATCTGCCATCGCTTTGTAGGGTATCTAGAAGAAGAAGCTGTGATCACATACTCGAAGGCAATCTGTGACCTCGAGAATGGTCATCTGCCTGGATGGGAGAGCTTGCAGGCTCCAGATATGGCAATCAAGTACTGGCAGATGCCAAAGGGCCAGCGCTGTATGCATTCACTATTGCTGTATGTGCGCGCTGATGAGGCGAAGCATCGTGATGTTAATCATGCTTTAGGAAATTTGGATCAGAATACGGATCCGAATCCTTTTGCGGCGGGGGTTAGGGTTCAGGTTCAATCTGTTGCTCGTTCGGCTGGTGTTGCGCCAACTGTAGAAAAATAGTACGGAATCTTTGAGGAACGAGTCTCTGTGTTTTTTGGCCTTCATCAATGGTCTATCACAAAATAGTTTTGTTTCTGAAGAAGCTCCAGAGCTCGACCATATTATTAGACATTAAGCATGCCAATCCACTTAGTTATGTGAGTTACTAGATATCATTAGTAAAGCTTTTGTTATCTGTAAAGACATAAATTAAGCCCAATTTTTACGAATGATGCCTAACACCCGAGTATTGCATGTGCATAAAGCCGTTCAAAGGCGGGCTAGCTGCCGAGGCTTGTCGGGAGGTGATCCCGAGGGAGACCTAGACATACAACTGGTCAGCATTGGTTGTACAGAGTTCTTACTGAGAATCAACAAACCATTTCATTGTCTGTTTAACTGGTTTCTGATCAAGTTACGAGGGCATTTAGTAGCGGTGTGGGTTTGGTTTACCCACACAAGGGTCTAGCCAAATACGCAACTTCGCTAGACGATCAGTAAGAAATATCAGAAAGACAACTTTTTGAAACAGAAATCTCACCGAAATTATAGATCCTAAGGACTTTTAACATACTAGGAGGGTCTATGGTCCTAGATACGTGGGAGAAAGAAAGAAAGCTGAATGATGCCCAAGAAATACCATTTGTTTGGGATAAAAGAGTAGAGATATGGTAAATACATGCAGGAGAATGCCGCACCAGAAACGAGAGGCCTGATAATCCTAGCCATGTAGACATACATAGCTATGGTTTTTGGAGGGGCCGAGGAAAACTGCCGTGGTCTGGACGCGTCTGCATTATGAGCTGGAACCCAATTAGGCGACCATAAAGTTGCCTATAGAGATTCCACGTGCCTTTGCTCGAGCATGTCTTTCCATTTAGTCTGCAAATTTGGGATCGGCGGGTCTACGCATGTTGCGGTGCCTGGAGGGCTCCAATGCGCGGACCGGTCAGATGAATCCGGTTCAAATCTGCGCCAAGCTTCATTTTGGGCATCCATACCGGGGGAATTGGGTCCGGAAGTTGGTGCGAGAGCCGTGGTGGCAGAGCGGGTTCAGTGATCAGCCATTGTCAAACAAGGAATAGGCTACCACGCTGCTAGTTTGATGAAAGTCGTGTTGATTGTCGGTCAACGACTGTCAGAGTAATCGAGACCATGACAGCGATGACAGATCGCAGGAGATGATATCAATTTCGAATGTAGGGCGATCAGTGGGGACTAATAACTTTGGGCCGATACCGCCGCAGGCTGGAATTGGTTAGCGATTCGTTCAAGAAGATACGGGATGCGGGATCTGCGTAATTTGCAAGAACAACGCTCGGGAAGTTGCACGATGCAGCAACGATCACATGGGGGAGAATCCAATAAAAAAGAGGGGTTCCTTACGGGGCTGTTCAGCATGCTGTTGCGCTTGTTTCGGCCTTTCTTGATGTGGTTCTTCAGGGCGGTCGAGTCCAAGGGTTTGAGAAGTTCGAAGCTGCAAAGAAGTTCGCCGGAGACTGACATGATAGCGCCCCAGTTATCGAACTCACCGCAATACTGTGAAAGGTCAGTATGAGTCTTGGGAACACAGTACAAGATAGCTTACGTTGGGTGCAGAAAACACAGTCACCAGAATGCGATCCTGGTAGAACTCATATCCATCCTCAACCACCATGTGGGCGCGGCAAACCAGGTCAAAGTCGTGACGCTGCAAAAAGTCCATGATCACCTTCTTTCCGAAGCAGTAGCTGACACCACGCTCGTTAGGTTCCCAGTCTTCCTCCATGTCTGCCGGGTCACTCCACAGGAGGTCGTTCAACAGGCCATAGTCCGGCACGTCAGTGGGGCGAGCGATGCCGCGAATGTCGTCCATATGGGAAAGACTAGGAGAGAGACCACCGTGGACACAGAAGATTTTACCGGCCACAATCGCAGCAATCGGGAGGGTATTGAAGGTATCGATGAAGGTCTTCCAGACCTTGATGTTGCAACGGCGCTTGCACTCATCATAGAACCCATAAACACGGGTAACGTTGGCACACTCATGGTTTCCTCGAAGCAGGAAGAAGTTCTCGGGGTATTTGAGTTTATAGCACATCAGCAGAAGGATCGTCTCCAGACTCTGCTTGCCTCGGTCGACATAGTCACCCAGGAAAAGGTAGTTAGAAGCAGGAGGGAATCCACACATCTCGAAGAGTCGAATGAGGTCAGTGTATTGGCCGTGAACATCGCCGACAATCTTCACGGGAGCCGACAGTTCCAGCAGAGCGGGCTGCGATAGGAAGAGCTCGCGAGCGGCGGTGCAGATGGCGGTAATCTCCGCGTTCTTCAGGCAGACTGTTTTGGTAACCTTGCTAGAATAACCAGCATCTAGGAGTCGCGAAATCATGTCGTCCAAATCAATGGATTTCAAAGCGCCCATGCCCATACCAGGAGATCCAGAAGTCTCTAAGGGGGCGTTCAAGATGAAGTCCAGAATGGGATTCAGTTGGTTCTCTCGCTTCATCAGAATTGATTCACCCGCGACCGCGGAGGCCCCAGTTGGGGGCCCACCAGAGGGAGGGCCATCTGACACATGGTCGACTTCGCCGCTCTCCTTCATCGCATCCACATCCTTATGGCCTCGCTGCAAACTGGTGGAAAGTGAGGGAGATGGCGGGGGTTGGGGGGAGCCGGGTCGCGAAGCGGTCTCGGAACCAGGCGACTGGGGGAGGCCGGCATTGGAGCCAGGGCGGCTTCCGACTGACTTGAGGGATCCAGCATCGGATTTGTCGGTCTGGCTCTCAGTCCGGGAGAGAGCAGTGGTGGAGCCCCGAGGGCTATCAGAGCTGCGAGCACCAGGGATTTTCGATCGGATCGAGCCGCGGAACGAGCGAAGCGACTCCTTGGTGTCGGTTTTGGAAAACGAAGGATAGGACTGCAGAGTGTCGCCCGAGGCGTTGCTCTTGGAATGCGACTGACCCATCACTACAAGGATCGGGTAACTGCCAAGCTTGAGTTGAGATGATCGCACGAACGATGGAAGTTCAAACTGTTATGCCGAGAAACCCCTGTTGTGTTGCTGGAATGTGTTGGCCCGAGCTTCTGCAATATTACAAAAAGCTTGGAAAGTCTGTGCAAAGAATGCGCAGTGGTTTGTGTGGGTACTGATTATCACTAATCCACCAGGCCGAGACCTTGAGGAACACACGGGCGGCGGTAAGTGCGAGACGTGAGCACAGTTACAAAGCGAAGAGGTGAGGCAACGAGGCTAAAGTGAAGATTCGGAAAGCCAGGGGTGTTGTGATTGATGCAGGAAGAGTTTTCGAATGGTGAGAAGCTAAAGATAAAAGGCGGGAAGCTCCTAGGTGAGAGGCTGAAGCTCTACAGAAAGTTAGCCTCTTGCACGAGACAATGCAGGTGCGGGATTGCAGGGCTGACTCCGCAGAAACCCAGGTGGCATGTGGAGGTGAGAAAGAGAAGGGAAAAAAGGAAGCAAGGGAGGTCCTTGGAAAGGGACTGGGAATGGTGGGTTTGCGGGTAGAGGAATGCGTCATTATGTACGAGGTGTTTAAAACGGGGTGGTATTCCCACATAATAGTCCGCAGGCGGAGACCCCGGGGGGACAATTTACCTCAAAAAGAATCCAATGGGAAATATCAAAAGGGCTGCAAGGATGAAAACAAGAACAGCGAGAGGGGAAGAGGAAAGTTGGAAGTCAAGATCAAGGTCAGAAAGGTAGGCAAAAGTACTCCGCCACCGCTAATACAGCGAGAAGGTACTTGACGGGTACAAAGTGGCTGCTTCTGTTTCTTGGGCCCGGTCTCGATCGGGGTGGATGAGGTCAGCCGGATTATCTCTCGGACCGAGCTATACAAAGAACTTAAGACAGTTGCCTGATCTAGAGAGAGTCTGGACTCTCATATATATAACATTTTATAGTGAATATCCACCTTAATCAAAAGGTTATTTTTCTTTTTTTTTTTTATTTCTTTTCTTTTTAAAAACTACTACACATTTAAAGAAAAGTGTCCTCATTGGAGATCTGTACATATGTATATATCTCTCTCTATAGCTTCACACCACAATCTTATAGAAATATGTTCTTTTTTCTCTTTCTTTAATCTTGTAGGGTCTGAATTTCTCTTTCCGATGTCCTCCCCCATAATCTAGGTAAGGCCTGGCCATTTTTGAACCCCCACTATTAGCGCTTGATAAGCGATGGTTGTCTCCCTACAACGTACATGCATTTACATTTGAATCTGGGCCACCTGAAGAGACCATCACAAATGAATTTGCAGAGCCAATCGGACACCAAGAATCTTTTTCCGATCCTACCCGATCATTCACAAGAGCATCTATCTTGGACCCCGCCATCAGGGGCACGTCTCCTATCAGAGGCGATGAAGATAAAAGTGCAGCACCCACTCGACTAAAGGATTCGACAACGCGTTCGGAAGCAAAATGATACATCACAAAGTTATATGTTGCTGCGTGGTAGAGCGTAAGCACCCCTGTAAATACTTCCAACGGGGGAAGGCGGTTACAGGATAGTAGAGGCTGTTCAGAAACAAGATACACCCTGACCCCATGATCTGATCGTAGCGGAAGCAGGCAGGAGCCACAGATAGTCTTGGTTCTGCACGAAAGCAACCACGCGGCATGCCAAGGGATCGGTGTGGCGGAGACACCGCTTTTTCGCCCCTCCATCTACCCCTTCCTAGCTGGAAGCGCCTGCCACGGACAATCTCCCTTTCTAACTTGATGGCAGGCCTGTCGATCGAGCCACATTAGGTGCTGCGACGCTGCGATGCAGCTGCTGTGATCCCGGTGCCACGTTGTTGAAGGAGCAGCGAGCGCCGCTGCAAGAAAGCCTCGTCTTGGCAGCCCCAAGCCCAACTCTAGTCCTGGCGGAAAGCAGGGACCAGGTAATTGTGGGCGCAGGGCAGAAACCGGGCCTCTCCTGCTGCATATCGCGTGGGTGGGTGCAATACGTGATTGCCACTGCTTGGTACTGCGGGGCAGTAGAGCTAGCCTTATCATTCGAGAATAGAGTAGAGAACGATCCCCAGGTGGGAAAATGGTCTCGTGGATACGAGCCCAAGGTGGAACCCGATCGAGGCTTACTCCAGCTCTATTTTCGTAATGTGTCGTCCTGGGATCACAATGAGGCCTATCAGCCGGTGTGTCATGTTCACTTTGACGGTGCTCTTTGCTTCCGACCCTTCTCCCCAAGACTCCTTCTTGTCTGCGGCAGCTTGTACGGCAGATGTGGTGGGCATACGATATTCAAAAGAGTTGGCGAGAATGATGTTCCGGTCCTATCGAGAGTTTTCTATTAGTGCCGCTGTACGCGTAGTTCATAGGTGAATGCTTACCGCATCGGTACACTTAAAAAGCCCGACAAACATGCGAGTATCTGTGGTATGGATCCGCAGTGTGCGACCCAAGAGCCCTTCCAAGTACTGAACAGACTGGTCGTGATCCATTGTGGTTGGTGGGTTGTTCGTGTCAGCAGGCAAAGGACCTCCAATGTGCGGGGGAGTTGAAGTCTGAGGGTAGCCGAGCTGAAAAAGATTCCGAGGCAGGAAGGACAAAGTCAGATTATTCGGGGGGTTGGCAGGATTAAGTAATTTCTCTTGCAGTTTGAGACTACCCTGGCCTTGTCGTTAAATTGAAGGAGGGACGACGTCGGCAAACAGCTTCGTTGCCTGAGGCCACTTAAGGCTAATGGAGCGGGTCCATAACAACCATCACGCCAAAATCTATGGACAATGTAGAAAGAGCTATAGAGCGTCTGAATAATGAAGAGTCAGTGTACTTAAAATAAGTACCAGCTACCAGCCTTACTCTATACGTAAATTTATGTATACCTAGTGACTATATCGAGCTGGTTACCATTCTAGGCAAGTGATCACAATACCCCAATATCGCTAGTTACATAGGGCCGGATCAATGATGACGCACCCTTACCCAGCCTGCAAATAAAGTCGTAAGTCACTGAAACATTGAATTAAGCTGGATATCAGGCGATGTATGTGAATGTTCATTAAGAGTCAAAACCTTGGGGTTTCAAGTATTCCCAGGCTTCCAAAAACGCCAAAAACCGAGAAGAATCCCCGGTTCCTTTCGAGAAAGGAAGAAAAGCAAGGCAATATAATTAGCCAGTAACACCTTGTCCAAATAGCCCAATAGGTATCACGAAATAGATAGAAAGGAGAGGATAGCCTCTCCTGATATAAACACCAGCGCGCGATGATAAAAACGGACCCGCGTAACCAGATTACATCCAGGCCATTCCTCCTACCCAGTTCTTGGGCGCCTGCACCAATCCATCACTACCGCTTCTGCTATCCATGTCCATGTCCATGTCTACATCAGCACCCATCTGATTGGATCCGGGACTGTTGCTCTCGCTCGAGCTGTCTCCGGGGCTCATCTGATTAAACGCCTGTCGACGCAGGAGATCCTCCTGGGTGAGCGCAGTCTCATTGGCACGGGGTGCAAGCGCTTGACGGGATGGTCGGAAAGACGATGATTGCTGGGGTGTTTGTTGGAAGAATCGGTGTAATGTTTGCTGTCGGGGGTCAACGGCTTCTGGTATTTCGAGAGTCGGCTCCGAGTCCATTGTATCCATATCGGTGGCCTGTGTAGACTCCTGCTGCTTTTGGGCGGAGAAGATCCATCGTAGGGTGTTCTCTGCTAGCTGTCAGCGAGGTTGAACGTTGATGCGATCAAGGGAGAGTGCCCCAAGGGCGAGGCGAGGCACTTACGGTAAATCACTTGGTCACTGGGACGATCGTCTCTGAAGCGCTTTCGCGTCCGACTATGGAGATGTGTGCTCCCAGTCCCCATGCCCCATTCATTGGGGGCCGGAACTGAGGGACTGGTCGGGAGAGCTGTGAACGAAGCTTTGCGCTTGAGGGACATGTTTATAAGAGCTCTGTGTATAGTAAGGTGGAGCGGTAGAGGGCGTGTAGTTGTAATCGCGTATAAAAAAAGTCTCACGGGGGTAGTAATGACAAGAGAAGAGACGTGTGAGGAATTGAGACGAGGACCGATGCAAACACAATCTGGGCGCGTCATCTCCGGGATTCGCGTTGCATTCCGTCAGGCTAAGCCAAAACGGGTAATATAGGTAACTTGGATGCTCCCAACTTTCTAGGACATCTAAGACCTCTTCATTTCTAGAAGAAGCAGACTATGTATAATCAATGGATATATTCAACCTAGGGCTTTCGATGTCATTGCTTCGACAATGCGACCGTCCTTAGTCGCGATCATTCTTTCGGTATCCTACTTCAAACATAAGATATACAAGGTTGTACCACGAACTCTTGATGACTGTGTCGTTTGTCATTTCCACAAACAGCCACTCATTTTTATGCAGCTATTCCCCTTTAGCTTGGTTTGCTGGTGTATGTTATAAGTACATATGCGTACTTCCGAGCTTCAAGTTGATAAATGTAGAAATATATGATATTGACTATGGACTCATATAAAAAACGTATATTTACCATCTTTCTCTGTATCTCCTAAGTAGGATCTATACAAATAATAAGTATCCATGGAAATCATCTAATATCTTGAAGATGCCAATTGGCGCTGAGCGGGATCCCCACCATATGACGCTCCCCCCACTTTCTAGAGAGCTTCATCTTGTAGACAACCACTTCCCGAGGTCTTTCAACCTTGACGTTGACCTATTTCAGACCCTACCATGCCATCTCGCCAGGCCTCTCACTCTGGATCATGGTACTCAGATAGTGCCCGAACCCTGGCCCGTCAGTTGGATGGCTGGCTGGCGCAGGTGCCAGACACGATGGAAAAAGTCGGCTCGCTGCCAACTCCAGGAGCCAGAGTGATCATCGCACCGTATGTCCGAGACTCCCATCATGCATATGACATTCTCCAGAACGAAGCATACTAATCAACTAGGCATGCGGGTTATTCGTACTCGGGGCCATGCGCAGCCTATGCATACAAGGCGCTGGACCTCTCCAAAGCGTGGGCTTACCTCCCGCTTTTTTTTATATGAAACTCCTCTAACCTCACAAATAGGAAGAGAATCTTTATTCTGGGACCATCGCATCATGTCTCGCTCGCAACACTGGCTCTTCCAACGCTAACTTCCTACCGTACCCCTCTATCCGATGAACCCCTCCCACTAGACACCGAGCTGATTACCCAGCTTCTCGAAACCCAGGCAACCAGACCAAACGGGGCAAAGATTAGCTTCACAACTATGTCGCGTTCGGTCGATGAAGACGAGCACAGCATCGAGATGCACCTGCCCTACATTCACCGTTTGCTCCAGCTCCAATATCCGGATTCTCCAACCTCTGAATACCCACCTCTAGTCCCAATCATGGTCGGAAATACCTCGGCTGCGACAGAGCAAGCATTCGGGGCCCTCCTAGCCCCCTACCTGGCGGACCCGGCAAATGCCTTTGTGATAAGTTCAGATTTCTGCCACTGGGGCCTCCGATTCCGCTACACATACTATGTTCCACAGGCCCCCAGGCCAGGGCCACAACTCCCACTGTCTGGCGATCTACTTCCGCAACCCGGGATGGACGCAAGCAGCGTTGATCAGGCCATCGAGATGGCTTCAGCAGGTCACTCCTTGCGGCAGCGCGATTGCATCTCAAGCCGTGAACCCGCCGTTCACGAAAGTATCTCAGCATTTGACATGGCTACGATGGCTGCTATTACAACGGGATCTTCACAGTCTTTTCTCGACATTATTGAACGCACGGGTAACACAGTATGCGGGCGCCATCCGATCGGGGTAATCATGGCCGCCCTGGAAATCGTCACGGCAAATCAAGCAGCCGAGCAGGAAGGACGCTTTTACTTCCTGCGGTATGAGCGTAGCTCGGATGTAGAAGATCTTGATGACAGCTCGGTGAGCTATGTATCTGCATTTGCCGTGCTTTAAGATAGTCCATCACATTCCCTTGATGCCAGGGTCTTTCAGACTCTTTCTCCTTGCTTTTTAGCTCGGATGACGGGGGTTAGCTCTAGCAGGGATCGCTAAAGTAAGGCTAGTATCAATGAGTCATGAGTATCATAACCAGAAATTACCTAGGTTTGACTTGTGCAATATAACATTGAAGATTGCGTGTCCACCTGGAACCGTGGGTATTTCTTCCTTTTGTGTGATGAACTGTAGCACTCACCAAGATCACCAGTCTAGACACATGACAGGCTCCATCGCAGGCACTCGCCATCTGGTTTATACCTCCAGCTTCTCCGGATGCCATCGGCTGACATTCGGCTGACATGGGTTGATATCCGTGGGATATCTGGAACCCCGAGACTTTCCTTTTTGTACTCACCAGTAGAAAAAGAAGATCTTAGGCTAACAATAAATGGCCCGAGTGACTCGTCTTAAAGTTTAAAGTCAAGCCTTGAAACACATTAACGCCAAGGCATCCCGCAGTCGATGGTTGCACTTGGGATTCGCCATGCACCTAGTACCTAGATCTTCCATATCTTAGATATAAATTGTTTCAAGATGAGATCTATTGGAAATACGTCAGTACTCCAATCAACGGAGTATTTCTTCACTGTTATCCAGAAAGGTCAAACGTGGAACACCTCCGTCCCTTAATTTAGCCGCTGAGCTGTTGGAGGCGTTCTTCAGCCAATCCGGCAGCCCTGGAGTATCTCTACCTGTCAGCCTCTACCCCTTCCATTATATTTCAACTAACCAGATCGCAGAGATGGACCTTTCGGCTTCCTGGTCCTGTCGGAATCTAGGCGCCGAGGACCCTCCTCTGACAAGCCCTGTGGCAGGGTGCAAACAATATTTCTTTGGTTTTCTTTGAAGCCAGCCCACTTTAGGGCTTCATTGTCTAATTGATCTATTGTCCGGCAATGCAGACAAAGAGTGGATCTAAATGTACACAATGTGGTATTGTAAAACAAAGCGCCAAAAGCATATAAGACTTTTTTACTTTTAAGTCTTATATTTCCATACGGGGCTTGCATTTCTCACTCTAGTCGCTCCTTAAGCTAGATACATCTTCCATTCTTCCATTCCTTCATTCCTTTTATCTTCAACATTTAGAGCTTGACATAGTGGAGATATTCCTTGGCTGGTCCTTGGTTTTCTTCACCGCTCAACAAGCCATGTTCTACCTATTCGTGGCCCTGGTTGGCCTGTTTCCCTTCACCTTCGCTTCCCCGACTCTAATTGACTACACTGCCAGCATCATGGATTCTGCATTCGATGATCAAAATATGGGAAACAAATTGGTTTTCTGTCATTTTATGGTAAGTTATGCATCTATTGCATCTTTAAGCCCCCCCCCCACCATGGGAAATACTAACACTATCTAGATGGGCATTGTCAGCAACCGCCAAAGTGCCTATGAATATGACGATGATATGAAACGTGCCAGAGACGCAGGTATCGATGCCTTTGCATTGAACATTGGCACCGACCCTTACAACGACGTCCAGCTAGGCTATGCCTATGCATCTGCTGCCAATAATGGCATGAAAGTGTTTATCTCCTTCGACTTCCACTGGTGGCAGGTTAGCCAGGGTAGCGAAGTCGGCGCCAAGATTGCGCAGTATGCAGGTCATCCCGGACAGCTCCTGGTCGATGGGAAAGTCTTTGTGTCGTCATTTGTGGGCGACGGTGTCGATGTCGGTGCGATCAGATCGGCTGCTGGCAGCGAGATCTTCTTTGCGCCGAATTTCCAGCCCGGTAACGGTGATTTCGAAAATATCGATGGCGCTCTGAACTGGATGGGCTGGGATAGTAATGGAAATAACAGGGCTCCGAGTGACGGGCAGGAGGTATCTGTTTCAGATGGTGATCAGGTTTATGAGGATGCTCTTCGGGGAAAAGCATACATTGCGCGTGAGTAGTTCTCGTAAATTGGGTGTTCTGTGCATATTTGCTAATTATTAAATAGCCATCTCACCTTGGTTCTCAACCCATTTCGGCAGCGAGGTCTCTTACCCCAAGAACTGGGTGTTCCCTTCTGACCTCCTCTGGTATGACCGGTGGAGAGAGATCCTACGTCTCAGCCCTCGTTTTGTGGAGATCCTCACTTGGAATGACTATGGTGAGTCGCACTATATCGGCCCGCTATCATCACCACACACAGACGACGGTGCTTCCAAATGGGTGATGGACATGTAAGTAGCGATATCTTACCCTAGCAAATTAACGGAAACATCAACTGACAAGGAAACAGGCCCCACAATGGATGGCTCGACATGGCAAAGCCTTTCATCGCCGCCTACAAAGCAGAGTCAAGGCTGCCCATCAGATTCATAGAGGAAGAAAAGCTGGTTTACTGGTACCGGCCAACTCCGAAGGACGTCAACTGCGACGCAACCGACACAACAATGCAAGTTAACCCCAACGACGTCGGCGGTAACTTCACCTGCGGCCGGCCTGATGGTGTCGACACGATGAAAGACGAAATTTTCATCGTCACGATGCTGAAGTATCCCGCAACTGTGCGGGTAAAGTCTGGCGATAAGACTGAGACCTTCCTCGCGGCTCCAGGGATCTGGTCACATTCGGTGCCGATGGGTGTGGGCGCGCAGAGTTTCAAAGTTTCTCGCGCCTTCCGGACGGTTCAGGCTTTGTCGGGGACGAGCTTGAGGGATGTTGTCGACACGTGTGTGTGCGGCATCTACAACTTCAATGCTTATGTGGGCACTCTGCCGGCGGAGTCCAGTGTTGACCAGCTACAGCCGGATGGGTTGACTATGCTATCCCAGGGGTTGCAGGTGACGCCCCCAATTAACACTCTGGGTTAAGAGCTTTGGGTAGGACATGGTCTGGGTTCTAGCATGACTGGCCCTGGGGGCTGGTGTCTTTATTGTTTGAGGTCTGGGACCTATGTACGGAATACACTGAGTGAAGTGAGCGGCCTGGTTCGCTCACTTGATTGAAGAGTGAGAGCTACCTGTAGAACAATAAAATACAACACGCTAGCAAAAGCAATGAGCCGTCTCTTTAAATTACTGTCATCTCATTAGCAGGAATCTGCTCCGTACTTTAGGCCAAAATACCGCCTAACTATGGCACAGCAAGGTACGGAGTATTGTTTGGAAATGCAGACATTGCTGCTAGATACAGGGACAATTTCATCACTCTATGAATCGACAAGTCTTTTGGGTGTGAGTTTGCGCTCTATCTCAATTCCCCAGCCTCATTTCCTCCAGAGCGCGTGACTTGGATTTTTAGCCCCCAACATAGTTTTCGTCCTTAACATTGGTGCCTAGCACACACAATCTCTGCCTTTCATCCGCCTTGTAAGGCATCAACTTTCTTATAGTTATCCTTGAGAGCTACATACATCATACGGAGTATGCCTTTGAAAGTTACTGCGCCATCGGGGTATGACTTGGGTCAGCCTAATAGTTAACCTTGGGAGGCGGAGCGTCGGTAGAACAGTTGATGATCCCTGTTCACACACTACACTAATGCATCCGGTTCTCCGACACACTCCTGTTAATCCCATAAGTCCCCAACCTCGTGCGAGACTCTCCAATCATCTCAGTCTGGCGTGAGACTATCTCAGGCACGACCGGATAACCCCCTGTCGGCCACGACAAGAATAGGAAGGTCACTAACAGATCACTGCGTCCTATGCCAATTTGCGCGTTATCCGATGCATTATGGGAGATAGGCCCAGGCTGTGAGCTAGTCCGACTACAGGGGCTAAAAAGAGGGAACCCCGATGCCTTTACATTGGTGTTAAAGCCCCCTCCCCCCAATTTGGCCAAGAGCGTCCTGGGGTTTTGTTTTACACTGAGCTTCTCAGGTACTTCCTCACTACTATTTGCCCTAGCCTCTCGTATACTGTTAGAACCAAACAGGCAGCCATGGAGACTCCGGCCAATGCGTTCCTCTATCTCTCAGGCTTACTGGAGATAGTATATGGATCTATCTCCGGGTCAACATGTGCGCAGCTCAAAGACGACACGAAGCCGTGCCTCAATAAAATCGCAAAGGCCAACCTCGAATCTCTGAAAGAATCTTTTGGCGATTTGTTTACCATCCTTAACGACCCTGACCGGAACTTTCACGACAAAGATGGTGCATTCAATACGGTCCTTGAGCAATTGATCAACGCATCTCTTTGCCGGCAGCGTCACCACCGAAATTCTGACGGCGCCAAGAGCCAATGGTTAAAGGAGCTGTACAACGATGAAAAGAGAGATCTACTGCGTTACAGGCTGCAAATCTATCTTCTCGAGCCTCTGGAAGAAGAATCGATCATTTCTATTTCTGTTCCACCGCCAGGAACAGAGTTCGAACTCTTCCAGCCCGAAAGCCGATCGAGCGGCAAGCCAAACGTGCCACTACTTGTGACCGCTGAATTGCTCAAGCCCCTTGGAGAAACCGACAGAAAATCTGGGTACATCTACCTCATCTCTCACCCTCGAGAACCAAAAATGTTCAAAATCGGATTTAGCACTGAGCTCGAGCGGCGATTTGACGAACACAGACGGTGCTATGAAAAGTTCAGCAAAGTGGCGAGTGATTTCATACCCTATGTCCGTCGGATTGAGCAACTTATCATCATCGAATTTTCCCTGAAGCATTACCGGCTCAAAGAAAAATGCACTTCGTGCCATAAGACTCATAAGGAATGGCTCCAAGTCAACAAAGCAACGCTGTTGAAGAGTTTCAACAAATGGGTTCAATTCGCTAAAGCCCTTGAGTCGCCTTATGACAAGGAAGGCAACTTTAAGACCAAGACCGTCGCGTTACCACCTCCTGCTATGAATTTCAAGTCCCGAAGTCCGACTCCAACGAAAAAAGGGTCACGTCGACGATCAGATATAGCCCCATCGCAGGAGTCGACACCTTCTAAGGCGGCCCCTGTCAAGTCTGATATAAGGATTATTGACGAAGAGATTTCCGAATCGAACTCGGACGATCCTGATTATAGTGGCAGAGCAGACCAGTCTAGACTCGTTTCGAGTATCTCCCTCGATCTTGCTGCTATTCACATATAGTAAATCTTGCGTTTTGTGAATTTTTTTCCGTGTTTTTTTTAATCATATATTCTGAGCCTGACCTGGAATGCTGTCTAAAGGGCGGCAGCTTAGATAGGACAGCCTCACCAGGGGGGTTCAATATATATTGCATAGACATATCTGACCAATACGTTAACTTGAAATAGGAATAAACCCATACATGTTGACAGTCTAATTGCTATTGTTGAATGAAATTGAGTCTAGAGACACCTAGAGCATCTAGTCATAGAGTAACGCTAGCTATAGATCCCCAAGTAAAAAGGATCTACAAATAGCCCGAGTTATTTTCTTCCGCATTTCCTTATCTTTTCTAGACTCAGATAGCTATATAAATACCCGTGGATATATAGACCGACATAAATACCTCATTCCTATACTCCTTTATCTTTTCACCGACTCTTTGCCCAACTCCTTCAGGCTACTTGGCGGTTCGGATTGACGGGAACGCTGTGCCCGGTCAGCAGGTCACGGTCTGACACTATTTATGAACCGACCTCGCTGCCAATGTCTCTTTATTTTTGACTTTTGCGGGGAACAGAGCTATCAACAATGGCCCGTAAAGGAGTCTTCTCATGGGAGGATGTGTTGGTTCAGCGATATCAGAGTAAGCAACTAACTTCTACACTGCCTTTCACTTCTTTAAGTATACAACATATACTAACAGACCTGAAAACAGGCAACAAACCCCCTTCACTTCTCCACGTTCAAGCAATAGCCTTCTCCTCACAACTCCAAAGTCGACTCCTCACTCGGCTATCACCGGAGCTTCGGCTAATGATTTGGGGATTTGTCCTGGCAAACCAAAGAATCCACATAATCCAATGCAGCAGGCAACGACTTGGGCACGTGCTATGTCCATGTGCGCTCGAGTCAAAGCGCCACAAACACAAATGCGAGATTTGTCATGGCACCGGCATCTCCCAGCCGGCCAAAGAGGCTGATCTCCTGCGCTGGAATAAGGTTAAGCTACTGGGTCTGGCGTTGACTTGTCGGCAGATGTATGGTTGAAATATTTATCCATATCCCCTTTCTCCTACCTTCATCCCTACACTTGTGTACAATATACATTGTACGATGTATACCTACCTTTACATCTCTTCCTTGCCCAGAAAGACCTATACATACATCTCCCCCACTCCCATACTAATAAAAACCCCAGATACCACGAATCAATCCCTCTCCTCTACACCCTCCCAACTCTAGAATTCAGTAACCCCTGGACCCTCCCATACCTCCTCCCAACGATCCCACCAGAACACCGCGACCGCATACGCGCCATCGAGCTCCGCTGGTCCTTCCCAGGCCACTGGCTCCCAAGCAAAGACTCCGTACGTGCCGTGTACGTGTCCGCCGGACGGGCACAGTGGACCGAGACATGCCGGGCGGTATCGCAGCTAGGCTCCCTGCGGTCATTCGTGCTCGTTCTGGAGAGCAATTGGTTCAGCGAGCCCGTTGAAAAATTGGTTGGGTTTTTGGAGCCGTTGAGGGGGGTGGTTGTTCGGCCTGTTTCGAGACGGGGTTGGGATGGGGATTGTATGAAGGATGATGTGGATGTGGAGCTTGGTGGGAATTGTGGGGGTCTGTTTCGGAGGGATCCCGGGTTCGGTGATGGGTTTAGTTCCGACGAGGACTCTTGTAAGAGTTTGGGATCGGGTTCTGGGTCGTTTTCTTCGGTTGATTCGGCTTCTGAGTCTCGGGGTAGTTGGGAGTTGAGGCTTCAGGGTCAGTCGTATTATTTGCATGAATTGGATCGCATAGGGGTGGATCTTCGGCGGAGGGGCATAGACTGCTGGATATCAGCGGTGTGAGAAGTATGTGCTTCCAGATCCGCAATGGTGTGATGTGCTTTATGCACGTTGCAATGATCGTCTGATCTTGATGTTGTACAAGGGTCATCGCCTTGTTTTTCTTTCCAAGACGTTGCAGATCTACATATTAAGATCGGAGTGTTTGCCTCATACTTGGGCATCTACCTATGTTCCAGGTATGCTGGAATTGAAATTCTCAGGTTCTTATCTCCCCCTTATACTCGGGACATTCAAGTGAGACCCTGGACCCACAAGGAGTCAATCTATAAATAAAACACGTGCCCGTATCTTACAGGTCGAATCAAGATATCATGGTTTCGTGGTTTCATCATTCCAGGTACAAGGTATGTACACTGTACAATGACATCTACCTGGGTAGGGTTCAGAGGATTATGTATGTGTGATGTCGCCAGGGGCAAAAAAACCTGAACTTGACTCCACTGCGAGCGCTAGGGAGAGCGCGGGGAAGATTGCACATCATAATTAAACTGGTCTGGTATTTTATGGAAAAAAATGAAATGGTATTGAACGGGTGATGCAAGCCCACTAGCAACTAAAAGGAGATCGACCCTTAAAAAGGTGGTCAGGTATATAAGAAGGAAAAAGATCGTGGCGATCCTGCCAGGACATGCAAAAAGTAAACATCATAGAAAAATAGCTGCATCCGTGACTCGTACAACATGTGCCATCGGGGCAGTTCCCAAAGATATTAGAAATAAAGATTGAGAAAAGAGAAAGGTAATCGTTGTCGCCATGGGCGCCGTGCAAAGAAAGCCTAAGCAAAAACCCCAGTAACTCATATTAAGTGAAAGAGGGCCGAGAAAACAGACTCCGGATGTGGTATCTCAGAGAGTAAGGAAATATAAAATATCGTGTAGAGAGATGTCGTAATTTGAGTGTAGGACAGCAATGTGTGATCGATGATCAGGGGAACAAGTGGTCAACATCGCAGCCATTGTGGAAGGGCAGACCCGGGGGACTGCTCGTCTAAAGTCTGCGGTCGCATATGCATTGAATCTTTGTCAAGAGAGCATGGTCGTCCGTTGGATGCCGACGCCCAAATGGGTGTCAGCGACGCGGACGAAGTTGCCCAGCGCGACTGCAGTGGCTTTGGTCGATAGTCAGAACCAATGTTACCCAAGGGTTTCTCGAACGTCGCTGCGCCCCGTCAGTCCTCCGATGCGAGAAAAGGGGGCTGTGGAATATTGAATATCCAGGTCGCACAATCGTTCGATGAGTGGTGTGGCTGATATGAAATTTTCAGAAGCCAAAGGGTTGATGTGATGCCGATTTACCAGCAGTGATTTTACCGTCCTTCGGGGGAACGGTCGGGTCCTGAGTTACCGTGGCCTCGTGCGGCGAGCCACTCGGTCGAGGCCTCTTGGCGAGCACCTGGGTGTTTCTGGTCCTCGGGGCGACCGGTAAGGCCCTGTGGGAGCATGTTGTTAATCTCTGCTGCCAGAGCAGATGCCATGTAGCACCGGAGTTCCTTTTCTTCACGCTCATCCTCCTTGATCAGACGGCGTTGGTCGGTCTTCGACATGTTTTCGCGGCGCTTGCGTCGGATCTCGTGAATTGTCCACAGGACAACTTCTTCGGGGGCGCGGTTGCGAGGGCTTCCGTGTCGGGAGAAGTTGCGAACGTAGCGGCGGGTAACATCGGTCGCACCGTCGATGGAGAAGGCCACACAGTAAGAGATCTTGCGCTGCCACCCTTCGGTGTACAAGCGAGGCTGATCCCAGGCGCCCTCGCAGGCATCAACGTGGACCCATCGCCGCTGGTGTTCCGAGTACACTTCGGTCCAGACATAATCCTCGGAATTCCAAACCCAACGGACTCGTGCTCCGACTGCGCGGCAGAACATGCTAAAGCAGTTGGCCCATTCGCCAACTCTGCCTCGTCGAGATTGTAGCAATTGCCAAACATCGGAATACCGCGGGAATCGCTCGTGGGCGGCACAACTAGTATCGGAACAACGGTACAGCTCGACTCGGGATGCGCCCCGGGCGGTCTCATCGGGGGTGGGAGGGGTCATGCCTTGGGCGATCGTGGGCATGTGGCATTTTGAGCATGGAGGGTTATTAACGAATTGGAAAAAAGACCCCTTGAACCATCTGGATGACGATATGTTAGCAAGGGCGCAATGAGCCTAGACCATCTAGGGATCCCAACATACCTTAACAATGCTCGGATCACACAATCTTGGTAGCCCCATTCCGGCTTCCCTGCCACGCTGGCAGCCTGGGCCTGCATAATTTGGGATTCCTCTTCGGCCTCGGAATACAGGCGATCGAGCGGAATGACGCACAAGGCCTCATCCAATAGACCGGGATTTTCGTACTTGGTGGGCGTCACTGATAACCCCTTCAATAAATTAAAAAATTTCAGTGAAGCTGGATCCTGGGGAGGCGATGGCATGATAGGAAGACCGCGTAGTGCTGACGAGGTGGCTGGCTTTGGGGAGGGAGCGGCGGCAGGTGTGCCTAACGAGGGAGGTGGTGGCGGAGCTCGCGACGGCGGTGGAGGGATTGATGGGCTGGACATCGGAGACGGTGATGTTGAGTGAGTACGCGAGCGAGACGGGTCATGAAGTCGGTTGAGTCGTTTGGTGCGCATTAGCTGCTCGAATTCGTGGGTTAGAGAAGAGGCGTCGTAGCCGTTTGAGGCAGGCTGGGTAGCCCGGTGTCTGCCGTCCGCCATAGTCGATGAGGAAGTCACGGCAGACTTCAAGAACGGTGAGTGTTAAGATCCAGAATGACTATGGGCGAACAATCGAGTTTAGGGCGAAAGAGGTCAATTTGACCCAAGTTTAGGGAGAGATGGATAAGAAAGGGATGAGACGAGTAGTAAACGAAGGGACTACCTCGCTCAAGTTGACGTAGTGTTCAAATCACTCTCTTATTGGAGAGTCAAGAGGAAGGGAGAAGAAAGATGGGCCCTTGAGAAAGAGAGAGAGAGAGTACAAAGTACGGAGTGTACGCAGTATTACGAGCGTCGTCAGCATCTGGCCCCAATCACGGGCCCCGCGGCCAAGCCGCGTGTGCGAAAACGAAAAAAAAGGCCAAGAACAAGACCCTGTTTCCCCGTAATTTCCATAATCTCTGTAATTTATGTATTTTTGGCTCCCGTGAACACGTAACGTCCACATCCAGATTTTCATGGATTTGGCTAGTTCTCCTTGGCAGTGTCTATACTTTAATGGCTTGAAGGCTTCTATAGTATTTTGGGGGTTTTTCAACAACTTTATCAAATCTTTACATTTATATTCATATACTCATATTCATATACTGAGTCAGAAAGTCCCCTATACCCTAACGTGGCTCACGCAAGCCTTTCTATATTGTAAGGTCGACATAATAATCAGGGTTGGGTACAACGAAGATCAATACCCTTGATGGTATAAGGCGATGATCTAAGCTCGTGCACAGTCTGTTCGGTTGGTATACTCCGAAAAAAGAGTATATACAATATACATGTGCTCTGTACTCGGTACTCCCCGTACCAATTCAACATCAAGCTAAAGTCAAAAAAAAAAAAAAGGGAAATATTAAGAAGCATAGGACCAACGCGCGGCCAAGGTACGAAAGCTCAACTCTTCCGTCCGCTTTTCCACTGAAAGGCTGGAGACGCGCAAGCGTCCGTCTTGGCATTTCTCACGATCGGGGGCTAGAGCCTCCGCCTAAGCCGCTTGAGGCGGTGCTGACCGCCAGATGAGGCTTAGCGTCTACAGGCTTCGAAGGCATCTTCTCTGGTATGAATGTCTGCAACGTGAGGTAGTTCTTGCTTCCATCTTCCATAGGAATGTGAATGTGAGATCCATACTCCGATCTCGTATTACAATATTATGGTGTGTGGACCATTAGGGCTGTTGATGGATCAATGTATACTCCGTACAACACTACAACCCGTAGGAACTCGCCCTCCATCGCCAATCACAATAACCGATTTGAATCACCCGAAAACCCTGAAAAACAGTGAGGGTCCAGTTGCGGAAATATCCTTTTCCTTTTTCAGTTAGGCAAAGGATTGGGTCATGTCGATCAACATTGTACAACTCGTCTCCAAAACCGGTGTCCTGTATACATCGTACCCAACGAGCTGACCTGCATATGAATCAGGGGCTGTAAAAGGTTCTTACATACTTAATTAGGCTCTCCAAATACGTCCACTCTAGCAGCCCTGGAGCCCTGGGTCAATTGGATTAATAATCAGCCATGTTAGGGTCCACTATAACTATATGGAGTACAATATTAGAATCTAAGTTAGGGTTACGTTGACTGTATCGCAATGCAGATAATCATGTTAACTTTTTTAAATCCACAAGCTCCGAGATTCAGCCCTGAAATCTATTACATCGCATGACCCGGGGAATTACTCGGTACTGTCCAGGCGTTCTAGTATCTGGGGAAACCGATGATCCGTCGTTTCATCTTCTGAGCCGCGTTTGAGCCTAGTAATATTCCAAGGCTATGCTAGGTGGCTGTGCGATCGAACGGGTTATGGTTTGATCGCATACAATATAAGTAGCTGAAGAGTCCATCACATGTAACAAAAGTTTTAAGACGCGGTTTTTTTACTAACATGATGTTTCCTATACTCCGAAGTTCCGATGCCGAGAAAAGATCCTTTGATGCTTAGCTTGGATGGCGCAAATTTCGCAAAAAACCGGGTCGTTTACGAGGAGTACTAATTGGTATTTTTGCGGTGATCGCTCAGATTTGATTCGGGGGTTTTTTTTGTGTTATTTTCTCATCTCATCGGTGGTATTGACGGTAAAGATAACAAGTACTACCTAGACAAGCAAAAGGCGATTCGTACGCACGCAAGGCACTCACACTGAACCTGATTATTGCCATGGAATTGGTACGCCAGTGCCAGCAAAGGGAGAAGTGCAGAAAAGCCAAAGCAATTCAGGCTCGACGAGCCGAGGGAGCCAATTATCCCCGGACGCCAAGTGCCAAGACCTCATTTCTCTCCTGAATTTCTTGAGTTTATTGCTT